TGCAGTCCCTGCGCTGGCCTAAGCTTGCCTAAGCAGGCATTTTAGTCGACTGAGCTATCTTGCTAGCCATGACAATATTTTAAGAAATCCTAATTTTCTGAACCTCTGCAAAATAATTTTAGTTATTAACATATCACATGCATTCAAGTATATTTGACATACTATACAAAATAGTTCACCTGTAATTTTCTTTGTAAGGACACTATAAATGGACAAACTAAAAATTTAAACTGTCAAGGATATTTTATAAGCTTTTAAAAAAACTTTTGCCATGGACAAATATAGCTCTGAAATTAAGTAACTAAAATTTCAGGTCACCTAAAGTTTTGTACAAAATTCTTCAAGTATTGATAGAAACTTTTTGTCTTAACTATAATAGTGCTTATTTTTTCCTAAATATGTGTGTGTGGGTGAGTGGGTGTGTGTACGTGTGTACTCCTTAGGATTTTCCATAGGGAAGAAGGTAATGCCTTAAAAACATCTGAAACTTGAATGCCAACTCATATTTATGTTTCTTAAATTAATAAAAGCGGTATAAATCTACTATGTATGTGCAAAAAGACATTATTTAATTGTATGATATTTCTGAATTTAGCTAGCCTTCTTCTGTTATAAGCTTCCTTTCAAACAAAGTTCTCTAGGAAATTCTGTCCTCTTGTGGTCATTGGCAAAAACAACATTTTTTTTTTTTTTTTTTTTTTTTCCCCAAGAAGAACCAAACCAAACAATGAAAACAGGTCTCAAGGCTTCAGGAAAAGCCATTGGGGGGGTGGAGGGGGATAGCAAATCCCCTGAAGAAAGGCAAAAATTATGAGTAATCAGAAAGGGACATTTAATTAGAAAAACAGAATGTAAATCTCTTCTCTATGTAAATCTCTTCTCTATATTGAAGTTATTGGTATCAGAGGGTTAAAAATAGAATGCTTACTAGGCAGCATGACTGCAAGTACGATAGTCTTGAGTAACTATTTCTTACATTATTTCTTCAACTTTTGAAATGAGTAGTGAGCGTGTATGTCAACACAGCCAACTGGCAGCCAAGATGGAACTGCAGCTCTCTAGCAGGCTGCACTCCCTATAAACTAAAAGAAAAAGAAGAAGAAAGAAAAGAAGGGAAAGAGGAAAAGTTCAGTTTCTACTCACTCCCAAACTCTGCTCCTGCTTCTCCCTGCAGGATAGACCTGTGTATCTATCCTATTTTCTTTTCTAATGCAAAATGTTGGCTATTTTAGTGACATATTCAGTTGAAATTTTCATTTGATCATTTTGGGTGCTCTTAACATCTCGATGTATTATTTTTTCTACTTTATGACTGGATAGAAAGTTCTAAATTTTCTAAGTTTAGTTCCTCATTCTTAAAAGGTATGCATAATGAGCAAGGTAGAATCTTTTAAATTTTTGAATTAAGCCATCATTAAAAAGAGAATGAATTTTTATTTAGGGCAAGGTGTTCCAACATCCCTAAGACTACCTGGCTAAGCAAAGAAGAATATGTTTGCTTTCACCAGTCACTCATGCTTCGACAAACTTCACATTCCACTGTAATAAAATTATCTTACATAAAGACCAAACTGGACAACTCCTGTGGACTGTCCAACAAAAGATGAAATCTAAGATCTACACCTTCATCTGCCATCCACTCAAAAGTAGCGTTTCCACTCTGTGGCCCCTTCTGCAGGACCCTCTCTCTGTGCTTCCTGTACCCAATTCCGAAAAGTTAGTTCTTAGAACTCAGAGCCAACAAACAGGTGGTGAATCATGTAAAGATGGAGAAGAAACAAGTGGAAGAACAGATTAAAGTATTCTTTGTTTGTGAAGCCCCAAACACCAAAATCTACTGGCTTGCTAAGAATCCTATGGTGCATTTCTTTTCTTTATCTGAAAGTATTTATAATTGACTGCTGCTAAGGGAACACCAGGGCGCAGTCACATGGTGTGGATACTTACAGGCTTATTTCATGCGTTCAGTATGAGATTCCTGTTACTTCTGACAGTATTTTTTTTTCTCAATTTTTTAACACAGCACACATTCCTCAGGAAGGACCGCAAACATGCCAAGTTTGCAGTTTGAAAACAAAGCTCATTTTGAATTACCCAAGGGCAAAAGAAATGTGTGTGCAAGTGTGTGTGCAAGTGTGTGTGTGTGCGTGTGTGTGTGTGTGTGTGTGTGTGTGCTTTGTTAAATGTTTTTCAGGAATCTTATTTTAGAAGTAGACAGTTACTGAATCCCAATTAACCTACCATTCCCAAAGAAGGCAGAAGGCTGTTCATTCAGACTGAGTACAGCCCTAAAGGACACTTCTAAGGCTATTTTTAAAGGCCTGAAGTTGGGATTTTTAGAATGAAGTAAGCTTTCATGCCTTAAACTAAACACTGTGGAAATTACAATTATTTGGCATATATGTGATAGCCAAAATTATATATGATTCGTCAGCACATAAAAATGGAGTCATTCTTGCTCCTCCAGGTGTGGAAAACAAAATTCCATGGATAAAAGACTAAAAAGAGTTGCACAAAACCGGAGTGGACAGCCCCCCACTGGCATGTCAAAATTTGCAAAGGAAGGATGAGGAAGCCGCAGGCATTTTGGGGCAAGATAATTGACCTGACAACTTACTGGCTGCCCCTTCTGCTCAAAAAGTGATATTCCACCTCCACTTAAGATTTCGAAGAGGGTCTCATCTTCCATTCCACACAGTTCAAGAGAAAAGTTATCAACCGTGACTCTATTCCAAAGATCCTATGGCCAGGATGGTTTGTGGTAGGTCATCTCTCCCTCTCTACCTCTCTCCAACTCTCTTCTAAGCATTCTGCCATTTGAGTTTCAGCTTTGACTACTTACAGAATGGCCAGGAGCTACTCATCCCCTGGAAATTCAGCGCCACAGAAGGGCTGCGTTCACTTCTTTCAGGCCTAGGCTTGGAGATTGATGACTTTGCAAGTCTCCTTGGCTCAGGACCAGGGATTGCCTGAGAAGACTCGGTTTCTCCCCCGCCTGGTTAGAAGACCCTTTCCTCCTCCCCAATTCCCCTTGGTCAGGTAAGGTTTCCTTTACACTCTGCCCACACTTTCCGGTCTTACTTAACCCGTGGCCACAAAAGAAACAGTCCACTCATTCAATCAATTTTTGAGTTTCTAAAAACAAAAGTTTTGAGGTTGATAGGAAAAAAGGGCAAACAAGATAAAGAAATTTTTCAAGATTTCTGTAGCCACGTCCTAAGTAACAACGGCAAAACTGTTTGTAATTCAGACCTAAAATGAGACCACTTGGTAGAGAATGGAGCAGAATTTCTGCCTTATTCCATTTACGAGAGCAAGAGCCAGTAGGAGGAAGATGAAAATGTAAGGGTGCACGAATGACACTGTTTTGAGAACTATGTTCTGATGAAATTAAGTGGAAGTCAAGTCAGGCTGACAGGCTGTCATTCAAAATAGGGCTCTAGGACCAGACCAATTAGCAACTCGAGGTCCTTGATGCTGAATATTTCTGTAAACATGATGAGGCTCAACTCCAGCCATCTCCCCTCCTTGGAAAGCAAGGTCCTCTTCACCCCTCTCCAGAGATCGCTTCTGCCCCCACTTCCCATTTGACCGAGAGCCGGTTAGTTGGCCCAAGCCGCCCCAGACTCGTTTCCGGACAGAAGCCGTGAGACTCAGCGGGGCACAGCCACGTGGCCTGCCTGCGTTTCGCTTGGGATCCCGCCTCCTTCTCTGGACACCGGCGGCCAAGGCCCTCGGTCCTGCCCAGGAAGGGGCGATTGATGGGCTAAGGTTTGTCTGCGCAGAGAACTGGAGGCAGAGGCACACACTTCGGAGCCCCTCACATCTTTCCTGAGGTCCGACCGCTGCCCTTGGCCTTTGGTTTGCTTTGTAATGTAAGACCTGAAGGTGAAATGGCTATTTCACTCAAACTCGTCCCAAGCAGAAACAAGTACAGATTTACTTACAGAGGCTTCCCTCCCTGCTCATCAACTCAACTGTTTCACTTTACCACATCTGCCCGAACACCCTGTTAGAGGTGCTTCCTTTTTAACTTATTTGGCAGAGGGAATTAGCATCCAAAGGCGTCCACGTAATTGGAACACGTTTGGGGCTCCGGCAGCTCTACCGTCCGTTGACCTCCCAGCAAGGGGAGCTGGGCGTGGGCATTCTGGGCAGACAGCCAGGAGCCCGGACGCTAGGAATCCCCAGCTCACGCACGAAAGTGCTAACCTTTCAAGATCTTCGCCGGGCCTAGTATGAAGCTGAGGTTGGCACGAACTAGCCACGGTGACCTCCACCTAAGGCCGGCAGCGCTAAGCACCAGGGCCGTGAGGAAAGCGCTGCCCTCCTCCAGCTTTTGTCCGGTCTCCATGGCCAGGCTTCCCTGGGCGGGAAGATGAACTCTGCCACTTTTTAGCACCTTAGGAGGCGCGGTCCCTGGGGTGTAGGGAGGCTTTAGCTTGGGTCCGGTAGAGGAAAAAGGAGGGCCGAGCTGCTTCTCCGCGAGGAGTGAGGCGCAGGCCGAGCGCAGACCCACGGCCTCCGCGGGCGGCCACGTCTTCGGAAACGCCCACGACCTCGGGCCCGGCCGCCCAGCGCTGCCCTGGAGACCCTGGCCATCGGGGACTCCGAGGGTGACACTTTCTGGCCACTACCTCCCACTCTAGCAACTTAAATTGGCCTCAGGATCTAGAGATACGGGCAGGGGTGAGACCAGACCCACGGTGTATAAGATCTGCGCGCGGGTGCGCAGACCCGGACACCCGAGTCCCCGCGGCCACTCTCTGGCGCTCGTCGGGTGCGGGTCGCTGCGCTCGGCCGGCGCGGAAGGAAATCGGCCCGCGCCGCGCCGGGAAGGGGCGGGCGGCGAGGAGGCGGGCGGAGGGGCGGCCGCCGGGCCGGGCGGGCTTTGAATGGCTCGAGAGGACGAATTGTTAGACCCCGGAGGGGGGGAGGGTGCTGGAAAGCGGAAACTTTCCTATAAATCTTAGAAAAGTCCCTCCCCCCACGTCAGGCCAATGACACCGCTGCCCCCAAACTTTCCGCCTGCACAGAGGTATAAGAGCCGCCGAGCTGCAGCCTGCGCCCAACTCTCAGACTCCGCGCGGCTCGCCAACACCGACAGCGCTGCCCGGAGGCCGCGCGGGGCGTGCGTGCGTGCGTGCGTGCGGCCGCGCGCGCCCTCTTTTTGGACCTCGGGGCCATCCGCAGCGGCCGCGTCCCTCCCCCGGCGCCGCCTCCCGCCGCCCGCGCCTCCCCGCGGAGGTCCTCCCGCTCTGCTCTCGCCGGGGCCGGCGCCGTGCGCG